TACTCTTAGATCAGGTTTACGTTCATTGAATATTGTTTAAAGACCATCATGAAATCATCATCATGGTTACACATTAAATTTATTTCCACTTTAATTCAGATGCTGAACAAAGAAATGGTCAGAAATGATAATATGTTTCTTATTTTACCTTTTAAATTTTATTCCAATGGTCGGAGATTAGTGAAATTGAACCTTTTGCTATACTGAACTTCATGGTTGAGATAAAATTATAAGTAAACTCATGAAACGAGTAACTAATCTGTAATCAATAAGCAACAGATGATAATCAGTGAAATAATCAATCTACATTCTTGAATAAGATTTGTCGAAATTTTGGGTAAAGATTACGCTCAAGCTACAAGGATTCTATGAAAGGTTAAGGTATCAAAAAATTCAGCCGAAAATCCTACAAAACGGAAAAATAGTACGAACAAAATCTGAGTAGCCGTTCATGAGAAATTCTGACTCGAAGATTTTGCTGTACGCATGCGCAGTTAAGCTTTTTTACAGCGCGTATTTCAAAAAGAAAGAGAAAGAAAGAGAAAAAGAGAAAGAGATGAAAAAGAGAAAGAGATGAGAAAGAAAGAGAAAAAGAGAAAAAAAGACGAGAAAGAGACGAGAAAGAGACGAGAAAGAGATGAGAAAGAGATGAAAAAGAAAGAGAAAAAGAGAAAGAGACTAAAAAGAGACGAGAAAAAGAGAAAGAGATGAAAAAGAAAGAGAAAAAGAGAAAGAGACTAAAAAGAGACGAGAAAAAGAGAAAGAGATGAAAAAGAAAGAGAAAGAAAGAAAAAGAAAAAGGAAGAGATGAGAGAGAATGGGACGAGAGAGAGAGAAAGAAAGAGAAAAAGTGAGTAGTGAGAAAGAAAATGAAATTTAGTTTTGAATTTTTCGATTAAAAAACGATTCCCATTTCAACAAACACGGGTCTGACAAACAACCTTAAAAAAACTTTCGTAAGAAAGTTTTTTCCCGCTTGTTGATGATGAAAAGAATTGATGAAATTTTATAAATAATAAAGATTTTTTATCGTGTAAAAAAGTTCAGGTAAGATTATCAGAAATTGAAACATAAATTCAATCAATCGTTGAATGTTATACATGGTTCACCATGTGAACATGAAACTCAACTAGGGAATTGTGACCAATTTTTGACCAATAACCATGGAAAAAGAAAAGAGAAAGCAAAAAAAAAATAACAGAGAAACAATTCACATGGAGAATGACCACTGGTCATTTTCCAAAGAATAAGTAGTAGAGAGAGAAAAGTAGAAAGAAAGAGAATTCCAAATCAATCAGTTCCATCTCTCATGAATAGGTCGCATGTTTATATGAACAAGAATGAATTGAAACATGGAAATAGTTTCAGCATCATCATCATCTCATGTAGTATGTAAGTCGAGATGAAAATTATTAAACAAGAAAAAGAATGAGAAAAATGAAAAAAAAAGTCTCTCTCATCTTCATGGTAACCATGGAAACTCATCACATGTAATAATGAAATAACAATGACGATGTTAAGAATTATATAAATGCTGATGATGAAAATCAAGTTACGACAAGTTATTAAAGCGAGAAAAAAATCTCATAGAGTGAGAATGAGATGAAGACAATGGAATACATTTTGCCTCTTCCATAGACAAACCAACTCTCCTTCTCCCTCCTCATTCCCTCTCCCTGCTTATCCACCACCCACCACATATTTATTATATACCATGAACTTTATCATATTATTATTACGGAAACATTTTCCTCTCTATTTCTTATCAAATTGATTCCATTATAAATATAATATTTTCCTCTCTCTCTCTTTACTCTCAGTGGTTTTCAGGCCATGAAAATGGTTATCAATGTTTTTCTGGTGTAAGAATAGCTGAGTAATCGATATGAAACAATTTACTCGAAATGTATTCTCATCCACCCCTGTCCACTCCCAGTCCTCTCTCTCTCTCTCTCTCACTCTGTTGCTAATAACTTATCTCTTCCTCTGACAATATTATTATCATGATTTTATTGAGTTTACCTGGAACCGTAACTGTAACTTTCAAGGTAAAAACTTTTTTACCTTATTTCTTGTTTCAAATAATCAAACCTAAGGTCACTTTCTTGTTAAGGTCAAGCTTCCTATGTAAAGGTAATATTGGACTGTCCATTGATTCAGTGTATATGTTAAGTGATTTGTATCGAAATGGGATCAGAGGGAGAGGAAGAAACAAAAATATCAACAATCAATAATGTTCATGGTTACGATTGAATATGGATCATGATAATAACAATCTAAAAGTAATTGTTTCATTTAATATTCATTTCATTCACAACTTATAATTCAATTGATTTACTTTGATTACTTTACAGTTGAACAATAATTTAAGATGTTAATTGTTTCTCTCTCTCTCTTTCACCACAATTATTAACTAATTGTTATTCACAATGAATATCAAGATAATAATTAAACTTAAAGATTAATTTAATTCCTAAATTCAGTCTGAATTTTGGTAACAATAATTTTTTTCTCTCTTTATCTCCAACGTACTAAAAAAACTTGGAAAACATTTCCAAGTGGAAACAATTTAATTATCTTTTTCCTTCCTGATTTAATCATCAGCCTGATAATTGATTCAGTTCCCAAGTTGTGGTTTAATCATATTATTTATATATAACACAAAATAAAAGTAACTAATCAAAATGTAATCAACTGACACACATATACACATATCCCCACAGATATTCACAAATCATGATCATGATTTTCAACTGAAACTTTTCAGAACCAAAGAAAATAATCCTCAGCATCAATTTGATGATAAGCTCAATTAATAATACACAATACCCATGAATATAAACATATCAGTGTATTTATCCATTGGAAATGTTTGGGTATTGATTGATTGTCATGTTTTTCATGAGAACTGGGAAGAAGAAAAAAAAACTTCATCCAAATTGAATACAATCATTCAAGTCCATTATTATTATTTAATGTATATTATATTATTTAAATATGATATTAGTTTTGTATTATTTGTGAATAACAGTGTCTGAAGGGAGTGGGAATGGGAGGTGAACATTGGAGGGGTGGGAGTCAGAGAGAGAGAGAGAGAGAGAGAGAGGAATAAGGTATGTCTTGTCTCGATTGATTTGAAACTTTGTTCTTGGATCGATATTATTTCTGGGATGAATACTTCATCCTCATCATCTTCTTCAGAGTTTTCTGTCTTTTCTCTTTCTTTTTTCTTCTCCTCTGTAAACCAAAATTCTGTTCCATTACTTTTCATTCTCCTCTGATTCTCACCAGTATCTATCATCTGTCTTTTTCACTGTCTATCTTTTATAATCTTTACTGTTTCTTCCTCATCATCATCTTCTAATCTTCATCTTTCCTTATCTTCTTCATCCTTTTTTTTTGTCTTCCTCAACTAGCAACTCAATGTGTCTATCTATTCCTGGTTATTGTCTGTGATATCACAACCTTATCATCCTCCTACTTTTTTCAGGCAAGAAACAAAAAAGAAACCAATCTTTGAGGAAGAAGATGATGACAAGGGATGTGTGAGAGAACGAAACAGAACGAGAGAGAGAGAGAGAGAGAGAGAGAGAAAGTGTCTCAATAAGAATAGAAAATAAGAATGTTCAACTTCGATAGAAATTTATCTTTTCTTCACTCGTTTCATTGACTATTTTACTTCACATTCATCTAACTATCTTCTTATTTATCTTCTCATCTCTATCCTTTCTCTCGCTCTTTTTTGTCTTCTTATGACCATTCAATTCCTTCTTAACTTTACTGTTAACCTCAGCATTTTTGCCACTCGAATCTCTCTCTCACTTATTTATCATCCTTTTTCCCCTTCAATAGAGTATAAGATGTAACGTTACATCTTATATCTTGTTACAATATTGTAACAAGATAATGAGGATGATAAAGGATGAGGGACAACTTGCCAATCAAATCCAGTGGGAGTTATCATGAGAATTGAGATAATTTGAAATTTTATTTACAAAGATTAATAAGAATCGAAAAGTTGACTGAGTAATTTGACATTGCCCTTTGACCAGAACTTTTTCAATCTCATTCACTAGTTAGATGTATCAGATATCATCATTATCATCTTGAAGATCGGAAATTCATTTAAACTGTGATCTGAATTAATTTCAGCGTGAAAACAAATTTACATAATTAGTGAAAGAAACTGTATCTTATTTAATTCTTATCTTTATCTCATGGAAAAATCAAGACCTAAAATCAGATTCGCAGCCATGCCTTGGGAGTGAATAAAAAGAAAAAAAGTTCTGAGAAAATATTTTTACTTTCTCAGAATGTCTCATGCATGAGACATTTTATTCTAGACGATAAAAGGGAGAGAGAGAAAGCAGGTAAGAGTGGAAACTGAACAAGAATATGAATCATGATAGGAACATGATGGATGCTAAAATTGGAGCCAATCAATAATAGTGAAGATAAATGAATTCATGTAATTGTAAAAGAAAAACTCAGAACCAGAATGAGAATGTGGAAAACATGATGAAAATAATAAATCTTACTAATAATTAGTATACTGAAGAAAAATGAACTTTGAATTTCATTAGAAAATTAATCAAACTAATTTCATGATAATCTAATGAAATTTGATTATAATAATAATTAGTTTGTGTATTCAAATAATCAACTTAATGGTGAATCTTTTTCTTTTTGTTTTTCGAAAGAGAAAAGTTCTAAACGATAAAGTTAAAGAAAAAGTTTTGAAAATAATTGAATATTTACTTTTAATTATCTCTTGAATTACGAGGTATTCAGATAGATTCAGAATCTCTCTCTCTCTCTCTCTCTCTCTCTCTCTCTCTCTCACGAGTAATTTCATTCAATTATTCAGATTAGATGATGTGGAGGTTAAAAGGATGATAATAAAGAGGAAAAAGACAATTGATGCGGAGATAATAATGGAGAGGATAAGGAAATGGAAATTTAAATTGGATAAAAATTGTCATTCTCTTGGAAGTTTTTACCTTTTATGTCTTCATCATGATCCTTGAATAGTCAATATGTAAAGTCCACTTTGTACTTTCTTCATGAGTTGACTGACGGTGTGGATGATGGTTGATGCAGTTGACGAAGAGTGAAAGAGAAAGAAAAAGAGAGAGAGAGAGAAAAGAAAGAAAATTAAATTTTCTTGTTTCGAATTTGTTTTTTTTTCTTCATCATCTTATTGTCCATAGTACAAAATTGTTCATCAAAACGATGGAGCAAAAGTAACACACTGAAAGTTTATCAGTTCATATTCGAGTTTTTGATTTTCTCTCAGAATAAGTTCATGATGTATGAAAATTTAATTCGATGAAATTGATTGAAGATCATTGAATATATCACATTGTTCAGAAAAAAAGACGATGTTACTCGGTGTAAAGGTGAGACGCAAATACTGGATTCGAACTGTTAACAAAATAAGAATCCTGAATATTGAGCATGCTCTCATCTTCCATTATCTTCCTTATCATTTCATTCCCTGTCTAATTCTCTGTCTTTTTCTCCTCTCACTTATCATCTTCCTTTCTTTTTTCTCTTTCGACATTTATCCGTTTCTCTCTTTTCTAATGTTCGACTTTACCAGTTTCCATGTCTGATTTTATCATAACTCTCATATATTTATACAAATTTTGCAAATATTGATTTAAACTGAACACGAACAACAATATTCTTAGAAGATGCTGAATAAATTAGACTAAAATATCATCTAAATCATTGAATTAATCTGAAAATAAAGTTGTGTGTCTCATTTCATGGTGACCAAAACACTCGGCATGATATAATGAATCGATTCAGTTAACTCAGATTCTCATATTCTGTTGATGATAAATAAGCAAGAAAAAAAAAGCTCAATGAATTCAGAGAAACTCAAATTAATTCATAATTTTACTCCAATAACTATAAGAGATAAATGTTCACATTTCAGTTACATTGATACAGATTAATAATCATGAATTTTGGGTACCAAAATATTAATAATAAACATTAAACATGAAACATAATTTATATTATTATTTATAAATTTGATTGTTGCGTGTTAATCAGCCACAATAATAATAATTACCACCGGTGATAAAAAAAAGTAAAATCTCTATGAGATTTAACCTTTAATCTTGTTCACTGAGTTAAACTCATCAAAATGGGGAAAAAAACAATCAATCCGATAATCCATAAACTGATTGTGAGATATTCTTGTTACTCACAACAATCAGAATTGATTGAATATTCAATAAGTGAACTGAATTTTTGTTGTTTTTATAATTCTTTTTATTTATTCTGTTTTATTCTGACAAAAAAAAAATGGAAAAAAGCAAAACAAAATGTCAACAGTATTTCATCATAGTCTGGGAATAGAATATATAAAAAATTTCTTTCTGAAACATGATAAGAACTTTTTCTTTTTCCTTTCATTCTTTTGAATAATTTCATCATTGAATAGAATGATGTTATTGTTTGCATATGAATTACTCATTATATCTTATCATCATCATGATATTAACTCAATACTTATTGTGTAAGGAAATGATAATAGAAAAGATGAAGAAAACGAAATAAAAAAAGTTCGAAGGACAGAAAATATTATTTATCTATTCACGATAATCATTCCCAGTTCCAGGATATACTCAGTGTTATAACCATGATACTCATCGTATGTGTATCATTTCATTGAAACATTTACTACCATTTCCCACATTGTCATCTCATGGAAGCAAAGAAAAGTTCAGTGAGAGAGAGAGAGTTTAATATTTCCTCTCACTCACTTTGAGCATATTTAGTGATATGAATTTATATCCTGAACATATCATGATGATAATATAAGATGACAGTTATCATGGAATATTTTTTTTTGCTCCTTCTGATCATTTCTTTATCTTGATAAAAGCAAATATTCAGACGTTGGAATGATTTTCATGATGATTTTCTTTTCTTCTTCTCAAAGACAAAAATGAATAATAAATAATTTTCTTCCATCATGGAAATTGAGGAAAAAAGAGCAAAATAGAAAATAAAAAAGAGGTTAGAACTTCAATGTAAACTCGATGAAGTTGAATTTAAATTGCACGTAATCACAGAGGAAAAGAGATAAATTTAAACTCGATTATCATGAAATAGTGATCACAATTAGTTTGCATAAAGAGTGAGAGAGAGAGAGACAAATAAATAATAACAATCGAGCAAATTTTTCAACGGAATAGTTGAATTAAAATAATCATTCATGATGGAAAACAAATGAATTAGAAAGTTAAAAGGGTGAAGAAAAAAAAAGTTCATTTGTAAATTAATTACAAATTAATTCAGTTCAATTTTCAAAAAGTAATCGTAACTAAATTGATAAAACATGATTTACCAATTCAACAATAAAACAAAAGTTTAAACATTAAAATTTCTGGTTAATTCTCATGTGATTTAATTGATAATAATCATGTTTAAAATTTGTTATCATTTTATCATCATCATCATCATTTCATTGTGTCCAGATTGTTCATCCTCATCTCCATCATCGTCATCATGATAATAATCAACAATTCAAATGTTCAACTCCCTGTTGTCTAATTTCATTCATTTCAATTCAATCTCATTTTCACCATGACATGAACATTTTGAATATGATGAGGATGAACATCTAATTGTTACAATGTAGATGAAGAAAAGTATTCATATTTTAGGAAAAAAGTTGAAGATTAAATCAAGAGCAATATCATGAAGGTGATGATGAAAATTATGGTGAAAAAAAGTTCCAAAAGTATAAAAATTCACATTAAAATTTTGAAAAGATGATGAGCAAGAGATTAATTATGTTGATGAAATAATTACTAGATTAGATTTTCCCTTTATCATCCCTCCTTTCAAGTCATCATGATAATCAGCATAATAGTCAAATTAAAGTTAATCAATCACTGATTATATTGGAAGAGGGTTGAATCTCCTATCATCAGAACTCATCAGAATAGTTGATAAAGTTCTAGTTGAGGAAATCATTTCTCTTTCTCTCAACTCCAATAATTATTGGATTTTAGTGTTATCACTTTTTTGCTCTCACCAATGATAATATATGATTTTAATCACAACTTTTTTACTTTCTTTGATTTCCTCTTCCTCATCATCATCATCATTTTTCTCATCCTTTAAAGTTTCTCTCTTTGGTTCATATTATCACACTTTTCTAAATGGTAACTTAGTTATAATACTATCCTGAGATTTGAAATAAACTAATGGCAATTAAATTAAATTGTTCACAATTAAACAGACAAAAAGCTGATCTCTCCTTGTTTCTATGGTGGGTGGATCATGATGGTGGTGGGTTTTAACTCCAGTGTTATTATTTACATAAACTAGATGATATTCAAACTCTCTCTCTCTCTCTCTCTCTCTCTCTCTCTCTCTCTCTCTCTCTCTCTCTCATTTCTCCTTTCAACATCATCATTATCAAGTTTTGTTTGCTCTTCATGGTGATGATAATGAGCATGTTAATGATGCTGGAAATCATTTCATTCATTTAGTAAGCTTTTACTCTCATCTGAACATTTTTTCATCTCTTTCTCTTGTCTTCAACATGTATCTTTTCATCATGTACTGAGTATATAAGGAAAATTTCAATAATATGATATAATAATTGATGATAATAGTTTATTACTATTATAATTGTTCAATTCAATTGTGAATAGAAAATTTTTCATGAAAACTTTTTTTTTACATTCGCAACTGATTAACAGAATCTCTATTCTTATTGTAAATACTAATGATAACAATTAGATGAAGATGATGATTATCTTCATGATTATCAACTATATAATACAATTGGTTAAGAGGTGGTTAATGATGATAATCATCTAAGATGGTAAATGATTATCAAGAGTAATGATGAATCAGTTTATGAGGTTCACTGATTAACTAACTTAGTTAATTGTAATTGTTACCAGGAGGGCGAGGGAAAAGTTCATTATCATTTTTCATGGAGAATTCATATATAGAGAACTCTTGACAGAGAGAGAGAGAGAGAGAGAGAGAGAGAGAGAGAAGTGGATCAAGATTATGAATATTATATGAATAGAAGTGAATTGAAAGTTAACTGAATAAAATGAAACAAAAAATGAAAATGGGTTACATGTAATTCAATTGATATTCAATGAATACATGAATCCGTATGATGTTGGTGGTGAGACAGAATTACAGTTATTCAAATTTAATTATCGTTGCCTTTGAAAAGTTAATTAAATGTTAATTTTAAATAAACTTATTGCTCTTGAAAAATGAGGAGGGAGGAAAATGGAAGTGGCTTTTCAGTGGTTTTATCTTCAACTGAATGTTGTGGTTACATTGGGAATGAAACTTTGACTAAGAAAAATGTTATTCCACCCAAATAAGAATATTTTTTTCCTTTGTAATAATAATAAACTTTGCGTTGATATTATCGTTTTCTAATAGCAATTCCTTGCAGGGAATCCTTGTTACTCTCTCTCTCTCTCTCTCATATGATTTCACGTTCTCTCACATGTTTTCCCACCACCGACAGAACCTCCACTACCTTTGTGTATGTGTGTGAGTGAGTGTGTAACTTACATGGTAAAAATTTCATCTTCATTGTGATTCCATTTTCTTGATTGGATTATTACAACTTCATCTCTTCCTTTACCTCATCATCTCCATTCTAGCAAAATTTGACATCTACATGAAGAAAAGGTGGAAAGATGAAATTGTCACCATGTTCAATTTCATATCAATCTTATTTGAATATATTTTTTTTCTTCATCTAGTGAATACAATGAATCACTTTCGATAATCAAAAAGGTGTAACCCTGTATCTTAACCTGAGCATTTCCATCAACTCATCAATCCTTTTTGATTCATCAATTTCATTGATTCACAATTTTTTTCTCTCCTCTTTTTCACCCATGATACATGGAGGAAAATGACAATAAAATGAGAACAAGAAGAAGAGAAAAAAGTTCTAATGAAATACAGAATCAGAACTTTTTTCTTCTTCTTTTACCAATTTTTTTTTCTCTCGTAGAATAATTTTTTCCTCATTGTTGTAATTAATCAACTCAGAGAA